GCTTCTCCTCGATGACAATGATGACATCTCCGGGCGTGACTCCTGGCGCCTGATCGCTCTCTCCGCGGAAGGTGATCGTCTGGCCATGGGGAATCGATGAGAAGATCAAGTCTGAGGTTCCCTGCCTCAGACTCCCTACTATATATACTAATACAACGGTGCACAGACCAGGTACCTATTGACCATCGTTTGGTCAGAGTTCTCTGCCTCATGTCCTACCCTCTGACCTGCCTCATGGTGACCTTACGACTAATACCTGAGTCGTGCCGAGTCTGGACCCCTTTCAATGAGTAAGCGCTCCTGCTATCACATCAGTCACCTGTCAGTGAGTGAGGATGAGCGCTCTCAGCTGTCATGAGGTCTGGGGTTCGATCCTGACCCCTCCACTTTCTGGTACGAGTTGTCCGCAGTCAAGGTGAGCGTCTGTCCTAGTACACATGACCCCCTGGTCACGTGGCACAAGAAAACTGTGACAATGTATCTACTTCAGAAATCCACTGATCGAATACATCTATGGTGCAGTTCACTTAGAGACCACCACTTTTGTACGCAGTTAAGTGCCGCTATGTAACTTCATCGGATTGTCACGAAACACTTCCGTTATTTGCCATTTGCAAGGATTTGAATAGGGGAACTAATCCCCAAAAGTGATTCTCAATTGGGTCAAAACTGGCGAAGGTGACCTCACCAGTAAGGCCGCAGCACGTGATATGGGTGTTTATATACTAAAGAGGTAATCATTTCATTACATAATGTAGAGAGACGTCCGTTGCCTGTGTCGGCCACTCCCTTATTGGATCAGCTCGACTGCAGAGCCTCTGGCATGTTGACCAATAAGATGCCAAGGTATACTGGCTTTAGTGCTTTTAGGAGGAGCACTTCACCACTGCTGAACATAGTTAATAAGTCTAAGGTCGCAGTGATACACAACAGGCTGTATTGGTGTTGTGAGGGGGTCAAAGCCGTTGAACCTAACCTAAGGCCAAGTCACGTGACACTTGAGCGCACACCTAAATGCGTACAACATTGGTGGTGACTAAGTGAACTGCACCATAGGTTGCGATTCCCTGACCAGGTGAAGGGGTGCTTGATTTTTACACCTGCAAGAGTCTTCCTCAGACGTTTAGTCTGATGCTTCTGCTTCTCGCGATGGTGTTTTGCTGCTGGCGACTTGCCCCTTCGAGGCCGATCGGAACTCGAGGAACCATCGCTGCTATAACCTGATGAGCTCATGCTATCCGAACTTATACTCGAACTATCAGATGAGTCGGAACTGGAGCTAGACGGCAGACTCGGCGGTCCATGCCCTCCATTTTCGGTACTCTTGTGGAACCATCCTCCATCAGGTACCTGGGACGACTCTCGCTTGAATCGGGTTGGACCTGCCTTGGACTTCTTCCCCTTTTGATCAGGTCGTTCCAGTGCCGGGGTAGCGCTTTTCCTCGTTTGTCTGCTAACAAACTTTTCAAGGAACTCCCGCTGCTGCGAGGTACGTGGTACTTGCTTCCCCTTCTGTTTAGAAGTGTACTGGCCGTTTTGGCCCGTCGGAGTGTCTGGCTCATTCTCCTCTTTGGAGACTACCTTCACCAAGGTTGCCATGAACTCCAAACTTTCAGATGTCGTTTCTGTATGCCTAGCGACATCTGCTTTGGCCATTTAAATGGACTCGGCTATTGCACATTGCAACTCGCTGTCCTCGTCGCTAGAATCCACCTCCTGCCAGAATTCATCCAGCAGTGAGGTGCCCCCACTGGGAACCTCAGGGAGGAGAGGACTCTCAGCCATGCTCATCGACCATTCGGTTAGGATAGGACCGAGCTGGTCGTCTAAGTCGCATAGGTCGAACCAGGACGGGAAATAGCGCGTTACCACAGGCAGAATGCCTGTAGTCTGCGGCTCTGGTCCGCATCGCGCTTGTACCACCTTCCATTGGTTAGAGGGGACCAAAGCGCTTTCATCCGCTCCCAAGTCCCCCTCTACGGCATCATGTCCTCCGATGCCGTTGCTCTGTACTGCGAGCTGGTCATCCTCCGAGTTGAGGAGAGTACCGACTTCCGTCGTCTCTTCCTCCTCGGAGTCCTCCTCAGGTTGAATATCAGCCTTTGCGGTGATCTCCGACCCGGTTGATGACACCATACTATCCGGTGTCATACTCGGATTGGACGCCACGGTTGTGCTCCCGCGCATCTCTTGGTGACCGCGGTACGACAGACTCTCGTTGGGTATTGAAGCCCCTTCACGAATTGCCTTTGCGACTTTGCGTGTCACCCTCCTCCCGACGTCCCTGTCCACTATTGTATCGTAGTCCTGAATCCCCCACTTCATGCTAAGCTCAATGTCTGTAGCCGCGAAAAGTGGAGGACTCGGGTAGACAGGGGTCACCTTGCTCTGCTCGGCAGGTGGGAGAAAGTTAGAGTTGGGCAACTCACCGATTGCTTCAAACTCACAAGGCTCGGAAGCCTGTGTTCCCGACCCCGGGGTAGTGGCCGCCTTCCAAAAGGTCCGCGTACCCTGGTAAAAGCTGTTATATGTTGACATAACAATAAACCGGTATAATTCTAAAGCGATCGGGTGATCAAGCCAACGCGGTTAGAGACAGAGATACAAAAAAAGAAAACACTAAAAAACGCGAGAAACCGGGTGTTTCACGATGGCGTGAGATTGGTAAGCAGAAGCTTGCCGAGGATAGCCGATAGTGAGACGTCCGAAAACACGAGAGAGAGGCTTGAGACACATGACATCTGTAAAAACCACCTTTGCAAATTACACCTATTCAGTACAAATTAGCTCTTAATAGACACAGTAGTTGAATAGTGAAAAATAGTGCAAAATCGAGAGGTCCCCAAAAATAATTGCACTATTTTGCACTATTAATGCAAATTCGTGCAAAGTAGCACTATAGTAGACGAAAATAGTGCTACAGTAGACGTTGATAGTAGTGGATAGAGTGGGTCCATAATTTCTGACTAGTGTAGAAATGCTTAATATGACCTCAAAATCATCTGTTTATAAGCCCCAGATGCATAAAGTGCTGGAAAAAATATTATAAAAAAGTGTCCTCACCCAGTCTTGAACCCCCAACCCCACTTTCAGATAACACTCCTATTCCGAAAGGGTGATCTATACCACTGCACCACCAGAGCTTACATAGATCCTCTCCACAATTACTATATATATCCATCACTGCTGAACTTGGGCAAAGTGGTGACACCTCATCTTGAGATTCACCTGCTGAGGCTTGCATATGTGTAATGTCTGGGACTATGTATATAATATGGAGTGTGCTATAGAGTATGCTTTATGGTATGAATGCTGTGCTGACAGCCTAGTCCTATACATGATAACAAGTTCTATGTTGAGTTGTGCCCTCAAATATAAGTCAGCTATCATGGTGATTTTGCAGCTATAGAGGTGTGTAATGCTTGAGTTGAGAACTATGAGCTATAAATAAAGGATTGTCATCTTATTTGAGTCTCCCCTAAATGAGTAGTGCTAAAATAGCGCAAAATAGTACTACAGTAGTGCAAAATAGCGAAAAATTAGAGGACCACATTTGCAGTAGTGCTATAGTAGTATCATGTTGGCACTACATGGCACTATAGAAAAAGCGATAGTGAAGAGTAGTTATAACTAGTACCAAGTATACTAATTAGTGCTTAGTTGCACTACTGAAGAAGTGCGTCTGAATAGTAGCTCTAATGTAGATGTTATCTCTGCTAACACTTGCTAATATA